TTTTTTTTTTTTGTTATTCTTCTTTTGTTCTTTTGTATAGGAAGTTTGATGTCTAGACTAATTCTTCTTTTCTTAATATTAATGCTAATACCTCATGCGGTCTAGGAGGGATGCTTTGCAATAGTTTATGTTTCGAGCTAGCTTACTTTTTAACGAAATTATCTTTTGCACTTTTGTTTCGCCAACGTAATAATGTAAAGTATATTTTCTTCTTGTCTCGACTTGCATGAAATTTAAAGCTTTTAGTTTGGCTTGTTAAAACCTCCTTAAAACATTGTTAGTTTGCTACTTTTTTTTTCTTCTTAGAACTTTATTGTTTATGATGAGAATAAGCTGTAGTGTTTGAGCAGTATATTATTGGAGAGAACGATGCGAATACTCTATTGTTGTTGTCTTTTACTGTGGCTTTCCTTTTCTGATTTTGTAAAGCATCGATTCGTTTTCGCTTTGTATTGGTGATGGATAGTTTCGATGCACTGTGAAATTTCGTTAAAAGTTGGGGAAATATATTTTAAAATTTGTAAGTTCAGAGATAATTGCATTTAATTGCTTACTTTAAGGAATTGAGAAAGGCTTAGTCGTCGGTTTATGTAAAAGCTGTGGGGAAGAGTAAGGAGGCTTTGGTTCCTTTTTATTTTTTTCACTCTATTTTATTTCTTAATTTTATCTTGTTTTAAATGGCTTTAGCCTTGCTGTATACTCGGTATAATGTTTGTGCTGTCCATTACTGCTTCCTATGGCGTGTGAAATATGTTGATGTTGCCCTAAACTTATTTTATTTTTCTGCTTAAGGAGCCCTATTTGTTTTTCTCTACGCAGAGGGACTCTAATAAATAATTATTCTCTTTAAAGTTTTTTAAAAATTAAGGTGTTTTAATAATTCTGTTTCACTTTAAAATTTCTTTAATGTCTTTTTCATTTTGACTGTCAGCTTTTCCATTGAATTGTGAAGATGTGTGATTGAAAGTTTCTTATGTTCTTTTAAAATTCATGTAGTTGCATTTGTTGCCATTGGCATATTATAAAGTAGCCATTTTTTGGCTATTTTCTTCTATACTGGGAAGTCGTTGGGTGATTCTGTTTTATGACCCAAGGAGGAATCTGCGACAAGTGTTAAGTAGTAAATCGATCTCGTTTAGCAAGGTAGCTGGCTTTCTATGTATTTTATGTAGAGCGATGATAACGTGTTAATTGATTTTTTTAATGGGGAACGGACAGTCAACAGCATAATTAAGGTGTAGAGCATTGTTTCATTATTGTAGAAGTGAGGTTTCTCGAAAATAATTCCTTGACTTATTTAATGGCTTAAAGAGATTCAAGGGAATTAATTGAGATGTCCATACTTGCTACTTCTGGTTCGCTTCTGGGCAGTATTTGAATTTCTTTGTGTAAAGGAATTGTCTTTTGTTTGAAGGCAGCTTGAAGTACAGCTGCGCGATTTTGAGTTATGGGTCTTAAAGTGAATGCAGGTCCGGTTTGGAAGTTTATCTTGAGGGTTAGGGATCGGTAGTTCAACTTAAAGCTGCATTTTGCAGGAAATTATTTTGGGGTTTTGGAACGCGTTTAGGCTTTTGAGAATTCAGAAGCAAGGTTAATCAGTGCGATGCTTTGCTAGTTAGCAAGGCCTGAAACTGTTGCAGCCGAGAATTTGAAAGTTTAAAATTCAGAATTTATCTAGGCGGACGGCCGGAGGAGGAAGTGTCTGTACAGCATAAGACGTGATCACAGTCAGGCTTCTGCGTACAATGGACCGGTGCTTCTGGTAGAAAGGCAGTATTGTCTCATTTTGGTAGGTTCTAGATGTTGCAAACATCTGCAGGAAAGGATGCTTCAAGAGAGTTTCGGGTGTGAGAGATGGAAGTTTTGCGAAAATGACTGCTTTTACTAGGTATGAAATGGTAAATGCTTTTATTTTATGCGGTATTGCTAATGTGTGTCAACTCTAAGGTGGAGCAGCTCAGCGTGCATAATGAAGGTATACACGGTAAAAAGAAGAACTGGAGAATTAGGGAAGGGCTGGAATTTCAATAACAGACAAAGTAGTAAGCATTTTTATTTAGATTGAATATTATTTCATGAAGATATGGTTATAAGAATTTAAATGGAAGTCAGCGGTGTTGGTTTCACGAGCGCTACTCGAGTCGACAATGGGCACCCAGCAAATATTTTACTTTACCTTTGAATAATGTGAAAAATTGTCAACTACTAGCAATAGTTCCAAACTTTTCTAGGCAACTCTTGCTTATTTTCTGACAGTTTGGCGCTAAAATTTTGACTTATGCTGTTTCACAGAGGTTTTTCTTCTGCAGCTCGTGATGTAAAGAAGATTAGTTTTTTTTTGCTATTGCGTGGCGTTGAATTCAGGTGGCTCCCTTTTTTCATTGAAATACTACTGATACTATAGCAGTGCTTACAGTTTAATCGTTTTTATAATACAAGTGTCTCAGCAAATACAATGGATAAAGAACTGTGTCCAAAAAAAAATTTTAAAACCTGCGTTCAGGGTAGTGTGCACGACTACTAGTTGCTCTAGTCTAATGGGTACTTTTTAACATCGTCTGTTTCAGAGAGCCTTCCCTAGCAAATCCTTCGGTCAAGCTGTAGAATAGACCAATGACTTGTACAGACAGCTAAAATACTGCGGTTACGCGTGGGAGGTGGATTTGAACATTTTAGACATCTAGGACGGCAGCTATAAAGCCCAGCTATTGCTGCAAGTGCCCCACTGACGGAACAGTGCTGTGAGCTTTATAAGAATTAAAACGGAACCTTTGCAATGGACGGTTGGGAAGTCAGCAGTAGGTGCACAAACAGAAGCTATCGAAACCGAATCATATGAAGTCTGAAAACTCAAAGTAGATTAAGAATGAAAAAAAAATATTTTTCAAGGCAGGCATGTTCAAGTGCAGTAGCGCTGGTCTGACAAGTTATCTGTGCAAATGCAGCACCATTTTGGACTTAGAGGTTGATGTGGCAAATTTGTTTGCAGGAGGAATAAGCGTTTTTGTTTCTGATTCATTGCGAATGGTATTTGACCTGTCCTCGCTGCCTCAGATTAGTTAGAGGTTCAAGGCAAAAAACTGGGGTTAAAATCTGAGCCAAAATTTTTTATTAGTTTTACGGTACTTATCAAGTATCCTTTTTTTTACAGCCGGTTAACAAACTTGCAAGATTCAGCTCCTTGCATGTACAAACAATATTTATATCCAAACCTGAATGACAAGTTCATTTTTTGATAGTAGAGGATCTCTCGAACGCTCGTACTGCCGTTTGTGTTATTGCAGTTGCCTTTTAATATTTTAAAAATCATTAGGGAATTTAAGCGTTTGATAGGGTAAGTGGCAGAAATCCGTATGTTACCAAAAAAGTACATCAATTTCTTTTGCAGAACAGCATTTGCTAGGAAGCAGTATCTTCAAAAGTGAAAAAACATTCAGTAGTGAGCAGTACGAGGATTATAGGTATTGGTAATAGGTTGCTGCCAGAACCAAATATCAACTTGACAGTGTATAACCACAGTAACTATAATGCGCAAGCACACTTCGGACACGTCTAAATTATAGTGTTGATATTGAACAGTATGCGTATCTGATATGGTGCCTATGATTTTTTGAAAGATCCTATCTAATTTTTGACACCTAGTAGTCTTTCAGAGCTTACACCGCAATACTGGTACTCTTTCGATGAAAATACAGAGAGGAGAGTTTTTAAAGTACTACTGTTTTCACTTTTTGTATGACGTTTCTTGTTTTACTGTTAACTTTCTACCGTTTTTTTGTCCTCTTTACAACTTCTGCGCTGGATTGTCTTTTTCAGGTATGTTGCTTTCATCCAAGTCAAGTAAACTGCACAAGTTTAGGGGTATTCAATAAGAAATCTTAAAGATTTTAGAGAAAACAGTTGGTATGAGATGGGAGACAAAAGAGCGGTTATAGTGGTCAATTTTTTTTGATGATATTTTTATCCACAAGTTTTTAAACTGTTTAAGAGATTTTTTGATCAAATTAATCATAGTCTTTTAGAACAGTTTTGTTTAGATTTAAAGTTCTTTAATGTTTAGCATATTCTGTAAAAGAATATTCCAGTCTTTTAAAAACAAGCCCAGTATAGTTTTTAAGCTTTAGCTGAGGATAATTGAAGAAATTTGAAGAAATTAGGAACATGTTTATGAACAGGCCATAAATGAACAAGGAATGAAATATGGGTTTTTGTTGAAAAAACTTTTTGTACTTACGATAATAACAGCATAAAGCAGAATAACTGTCGTATCATTCACATCCACCTACAGTTTAGCTCACCCGTAGCTTATCACAATGAATTAAAGTGACGCACACGGTA